ATCAAATTTATAATCACCCTAATGCGGTAGGTTTCGACAAAGGCGTGGATATTTGAATTTTCTAGGCTATTAGATGCGGTCATAAATCTATTTGCATTGTAAAGATTTATAGCATCGATTCAAATCAATTGATTTTGCCAATTTAGTTTCGAACTAAAATTTCATTTAAAAATATTTTTAGTCGACATTTTCCCCGACAAAATATCTTTGCATAAATTAAAAAATATGGTGGGTATTGAGAAAGCATAGTAATTTTGTATAACGATCATTTTTTTTCTTTCAAAATCATCAGTTTATAACAACGGTTGATAATATAAATTATATAAATTATACAATTAGATATCATTTATTACAATTTAATACAAACTATACAATTCATGAATGGCATCATAATTCATCAATGCTTATAAAATTTTGCTTGATTAGCAATACGACATCTGTCTTTTAAAAAAAAATTCCCAAGAGATTAGATAGAAATTATAATATTTGAAAGTTTGAGATAGGCATCTAGTTTATTTGTGACATTTGTGGCACTTATTGACCACTTTGTTTTGTTTGGGTATAATTTGTAAACAGTCCTTCAAGGTTTTTAACATCGTCACCGGTTACAATATTGTGTTTATATTCGAAGGCAGAAGGAATTACAAACCACTCAAATTTTTTTTCCTCCTCTTTTATGAATATAATTTTGTAAACACTTTTAGTTTCTTTTTTTTCATTTATGTGTTTGTTCTTTTTAATGTCATCGTTTTCATTAATTTCTTTGTTTTCTTTGTTTTCATTTATGTGGTTGTTCTTTTTAATGTCATCGTTTTCATTAATTTCTTTGTTTTCTTTGTTTTCATTATTGACGTATCCGTAGCCATATCCAAGCGTATTAAATTTAATGGATGATCGATGGGAATAGGTCAGATATTGAAATAAACCAGTTTCAAGAACATTCACGTAAACTTTTGGTTCCTTCAGACAATTTTCAGCAATGTTTGCTTCATCTTTTGGTCTTATGCATTTATATTTAGGAATGTTTTTGATAATTTTAATAAATTTACTAAATTCATCTTTATAATTCAAGCTTATTGTTTCCTTGCGAATTCCGGTAACCAACGTTTCTACATCCTCTTCATTTTTCAGCTTTTTCAGATCATTGTTCAGATCACTTATTTTATTGTTTTCTTCATTTGTTAGATCCTTATTCCGTTTAAGCTTATTTAAATTCTTATAAATACTGCGGATGAACCAAATATAAAGCTTTTGAACATAAACCTTTGGATTACTTTTATCAACTTTTGGATTACTTTCATCTTCAACAATATCATCCTTAACCTCAACTTTTAGATAAAGCCTTTGTTGTCCCAAAAATGTAACTATTTGATCTCTATCTGTGACTTCTAGAAAAACGAATTTCTGTTTATGTTGGTCACCTTTTTCCAAATAAAACCCAGTAGTCATAATGTCCACAACTTTGATATTTTGATCAGCAGAAAAGAAAGATGCAATTGAACGAGTTAAAACGGTGGAAAGAATAAAGAAAAAAATAGTATCAACACTTGCAGGAGTGCAATATGTATCATATTCGAAAAAACATTCTATGATGGAAAGAAAAATAACAATAAAGAAAGCTCTTTTCATTACAAAGTGTTTGGGACGATCGGAACGAATACAAGGTATAAAATAAAATAAATTATGAAAGTAAGTTACAGCCAACTTAGTAGCTAGTACAAAGTAAATAACATCTGTACAGAAACTTAAAAATTGTAAATTAATAATGGCATTTAGAAATGTAGGATCAGGACGTAATGAATAATTAGGATTACGGTAGAGTTTATAACAATCATATATTAAAATTAACCATGAATGAACCAAACAAATGAATATAATAATTGACTTAAGTATGCTAAATCTCTTTAGTGAGAATTTTTTTAAAGAATCGGTTGTGGAGGGAGGACCATTGCCAGAGGAAGGATCATTCCCAGAGGAAGAATTTTTTTTATCCTTGGGAGGCTTGGGAAATCCTTTTCCGAAAGGACAAGTAAATAAATTCGGATGATAATGGCTTAATTTAGTGAAGGGAAATAAGGGAAATAAGTATAAATTATGATAATTGCATACTATATAGGATACAATTAAGATGGAAAGTAAGAACATGTATATAAAGACTGATAAAACAATTAAAATATTATTTGAATAAGTAAAAGCAGCTTTAGTAGAAAAGAACCAAGAAAAAATAGGTACGAGAAGACTTGCAAGAATTAAAAAATCATCAACAATGCAGGTATTTTTAAAACTAAGTTTCGAAGTTACACCATAAACGGCCACATTAAATAATAGTCCCGCAATAGCACCAAATTGTGATATTTGATCAATGATGGTAGTATGAGAAACTTTAGATTCAACTTGTGAAAAATCATTGCATTCAAATGCTTTTTTACTTTCATTAAATGTTGGGAAAAAAAGTATACTACTTTTTTCTTGTTCCATTTTAGAAATATTAACGTTAGGAATGATCCAAGTGGGAAGTAAAATAGAATATAAAATGATTCCAAGCATACATGCTATTGTTATAAAAGATAAAATTGCTTTAATTGCATGTTTTTGTATTTTGAAAAGTATAAGATAACCTCCAATAGTTATAAGGATTGCTATGATTAAAAATAACACAGGTATTTCAGTTATTATATTTGCCATTTTACAAAAAAAATTTTCGAAAAGTTATTCGAAATTTTATCCGAATAAAAGTCGATTGTAAAAAGGTTTATATATTATCTTTGCAAGTACAGTAAGTGTATATAGAGATTATGCACGTACTTAATAGCAACTATTCACACGTATACTGCTGAAACCTAATTATACTATTATTTAGAGTGATAAAATCAAATTTTCTCCATGTAGAATATCTTGTATAAATATGTCACACTTAATAGTGGCTTAAGCCAATATACCTATGTGGGAAATCGAAATTCTAATTAGTAAAAATTAAAAAGTAACGGTAATTCCAGAAACCAGAAATTTCATAACCTAGTATGTATGTAACACCAACCTAAAAAATTTCGATATCGATTTTTATCTATCGCTATGTATCAATTATAGCAAAAATCGAATGTAACACTAAATTCAATCTTGTACTACAGTATTCTGCTCTATGCAAAATTCTGGAACCATTTGTTAGTTTGAGCGATGATCATCACTCCACTCCACGATTGTGATTGCGATTGTGACAAAAATAAGCGTTTCTACTGTAACAAAAAGACCTTTGAGGTTAAATTTTGACTAATTATTTTAGAGATTAGTCGGGGCTTATTTTCAAAAGATAGCCTGATGCTTTTAATTAACGACTATAAGATTTTGTTTGATGTTTATCTTTTGTTTATTTCTAAATTTGCTTGAGCAAATGCATTTTGATTTGATGAATTTGTACTTTTGTGTATTCCCGTGAGCGCCACTTTTCCTTTTTGAACTAAAAAGGAAATTGTTTATTCTAACATCTTTGAATATAGTACTTGTTCTTGTTTTTGTACTTGTACTAGAGCTAGTACTTGTGCTGCACGTATCAGTTCTAGTGTAGTTCTAGTACAGTTCTGTGTGGTTCCCCAAAATTTTTTGTCGAATCCATGTTGTATTTATAGTCTTTTTTTTTTTTGAGGCTTAGCGCTTCTTTTAGTAGACGACCGATTTTGACCTCAGTTTAATCTGATTAATCTTTGTTTAATTCAGGGTTACTTTGATGATAAGTTTGAGTTTTGAGAGCTCCATGGTGTCAAGAAAAGTGTGCCGCTAATTTACAGTTACTTATTTAGCGAAGAGAAAAAAAAGCTCAATTGAGCACGTTGTTTCCGGTTAAGCACGTCAGTTTCTTCACTTTAATAGAATCGATTTGTTGTATGGATTGATTGATTCTACTTTTTTTTTTATTTTGTTGGATTTATTAGGTTTAATTGATCTCATGTACTTACGTTTTCTTTATGTCACTTAATGCTATTCGATTTTTGGAGTTTGCTGGCGAACGAAATAATTGAATCTTTTGTGTTACGCTGATTGCACAGCATTTCCGGCTAAAGATAGTCCGATTTCTACTAACCTATAGAGATTGCACGAATTTATGATTAACGTTAAGCATTGGTTAATTTGATACGTTTTTGTTTATGAAAAAATTTTGTTCGTGGTTATTTATCCTCAAGACAACCCTTTCGTTGTTTTCATTAGAGTAAATGGATTATTATTTGATTTATTTTGATATGTCAATATGGGTATATGTTTTTAAACTTTGATTCATAAATAAAGAGTTATTGCATTTCAACATATCAACGTCCAATAATTGCCACAATATTAATAAGCATGTTAATGTTAGGTTAAAGTTTATTTAAACTTCGGGTGTTTGTATCTTTCTCTTTAAATTTAACAGTTAGATGATTTATCCTTTGTTATTTTTTGTTTGGTTTATTTTTGATCAAAATGCCTTCACATGCTTCTTTAATTGTTGTTATTGTTGCGAAAGATGATAAATCTTCTTTTACGCAAGGCCTGGCAAAGTATCAGTCAGATAAAGGCGTTTTTCAAACAATTAGATGGAAATATTTTCATCCATTCGATAAACCTCATTTACAATTTTCTCCGGGTGATTTACTGTTTTTTGCAGGGAAATTCACGATTGAAGACGGAATTGAATATATTACGGTTGCTTATGCTACTATTGTTGATGTTGGAAATCCTGATAATGGATTCAAAAGTGACGAAATTCCTCTTTGTGTTCCGCATTTTATGTCCCCTGTAAAAGTCAAGCATAATCCGAAAATTTGTGATAATATCGTCTATTTCGGGGCCGAATGTTGTGTTTATAACTCATTTACAACTCATGACGTTCACATGGATCTGATAGTTTCTTATCCTGCTCAAGCCACTAGATTTAATCATTTACATGATCGTATTAAAATAGGTCGTTCGTTTGTGGTATCTGGTTTTATCAAATTTGAGAAACCTGATATCGTTGCGTTAGAAGCAACTGACATTGATTATTTGTCGTCCTTTGATTTTAATTATAATACTGCGCTTGAAACTTCACCATCAACCGTCTCAAAATCTCGTTCAGTTATTAATTCAATAGCTGATGAGTTCAGATCCACCTCACAAACTCCTAATAAACGTTGAAGGTCAATGTTTACTTCTACGAACCAAGCCCCTGTTTCAACTTTATCTACAACACCGCAAAAACTGGACTCTTTTGATGTCAATGCCGGAATCACCTCTAATAAAAAAGGTAAAAAAAAATTATCAGATTTGGTGCTAGATTCTCTTAATCTAGATGCAACAGGTGAGACTGTTAATCTTACAAATCTAATCTCACACACGTTGTAATCAATTAAAATATGAGTATAAGAGTGCCACCGGCGCCCTAAACACGCTGAATTGAAATCAAAAAAAAAAATTATGGATACTTATGTTAAAATCAACTCTATAGTCTATGCGATAAACATAATTTCTCTCCGGTTTTAATGTATGCATAACGCTAACGGTTCCTCCTATTTATAGGTACCAAAAGTGTTGAAGATTAGGTTGAAACTGTAAGTTACGAAGAAAATGACGATGATAGCAGTGGACAAGAAGATGAACAGAAAAAAAACGAAGAACAAGAAAAAAAAATAGGAAAAAAGAGAAAAAGAAGGGTTAACAAAGGAAGTATGAGCAGAAATTCAAGAAAA